TCCTGGCTGAACCCAGCACAATTACTTATTAGGGCAGCAAGGATTTCCTGTTATTTAGCACAAGATACAGTTAAGTTCTTGACATCTCGGGCAACCTGTGAAGTTTGTCAACCAGAAACCCCTTCACTCTGTCTCCTTCATGCTGCAACATTTGAAGACACATCCACAAAATCCCCCTGAAAACAAGCATACATTAGGCCATTTTGGCAATTTCAGCTCCTACACCAAGGAAATACCAGCTTTAAATAAGTATTGGCACACCTTATGTTATACATGCAAAGTGACATTCATTTTTAGGACTGAAAAAAGCCATGATAAATAGTCATCACATCATTGTTCACTGAAGTCTGGATACCCGATAGCTCATCTTGAAACGTATCAGCACTTGGGAGACCTAGCCGATTCAGAATAAGGGGTGCACTCTACACAAAAATATCAATGCTGGTAAGACTAGATTCCGTGATTTTGATTCTATTCTCCCCAATTAAATACATAATGTGTCCACTCTAAACTGTTGTTACTCTCAGCTCCAATTTGCAGACATTCCTCATCTGTTCTCTCCCATGTCTAAAATTTAAGGCACTGCATGAAGTTATTTTTGATTGACTTACCAATGGATTTCATTATTCTTGTCTGACAGGAGAAGACCAATACAACAAACGGTAGAAGTTTTCTTCCCAAGTTCTAATAAGCATCCCGTGTCCTCCCATCTCTCCCCAGTTTTGAAGTATGTAAGAGGTATTGAAGGAAGAATTGCGCAATGACTGGTTTAGGATCAGATAACATCACGTAAAATACTTAGATTTGTTTAACTTAATGAGAAATCTATGTATTTTATTATAACAGCTGGGACTCTCAGTCCGTCCTCTCCAGGTAACACTACACAAAAAAAAAGTTTCTTTCCTCAACCAGAGTTTAATCTGGTCTAAACTGTTTCCTGCCAGGGGACAGCATGCTTTGTGACTATAAGTCTTCGCGAGGAAGGCAAAAGGTTACTTTCATCCCCAGTTATCAGGCAATCCCAATGACCTCTGATATCTTAGGTACCAATTTGCAGGCAAAGTCACTGAACTTTTAAAGTATCATTAAAGAAGTCATTAGAGAAAAAAAAGAGGAAGCTAAAAAAACCCAAACACACACCCAAGTAGCTTCATCTGAACAAAAAGACTGTCCGAAAGCAGCACAAGAGCTGTACTTGAACCTATATGGCTGCATGAAAAAGCTTTTCCTAAGATTTATCAACAGCTTGGATACTAGGGTGTTACTTTCCTATGAGCTCAAGAGTATTGTAGAAGTCTTTGTACCAGATGAATTTTAGAAATTTAAGACACACTAACTTCGAGAAGTCTAGTATCACAGAATCAAAACGTAGTTATCAGGCTAGATTTAGGGGTTTAGGATAATCAAGAGCTTCAAATACATAGTTCAGGAAGTTCTTTTTGTTGTTCAGTATCTCAACTACAAACAGCTGTCTGAATATGGATGCACACTGAAAGCCCAGCATCAAAAATTACACACCCTTCACAGCTAGTTAAGTAATTTTAACATACATTCTGCAAAGAAAAGAATTAATCTATCCTTCTTCCAAATTTGCTTAACTGTATTTGTATTTCCAACAAATCAAAAGCTATGCAAAGAATGATTCTGCAAATTATTCTCAAGGCAAGAGAAAAGAAGTGCAAGTGAAACCATTTAATCTTTGACTTGTTTTATTTTCTCAATAACAGCTAACACAGAGTTAACAATGCTGAACACACCGTTCATCATGCAAGGAGTTCATTTAATTTTAATCCTTTTCAAACTACTGCTACTCAGAAACAGTATGGGATTTTTGTATTTGCAGGGCAGAGCGTTTATTAACTCAAGGCTTGTCTCAAGTGTGGCATGATCAGAATGTTCTGAACAGCTGGTTAGGAAGATAGCCAAGATGCAAGAAAGATGTCTGAGCCTCCTTTTCAAGGGCAGCCAACTCTTGTACTGTAGGTGCCAGAATATCCACGTGGCCTTTATACAGTCCACCTGCCAAAAGAGACAATCTAAATGATGTGTTCAAAGCCACTTTTCAGCAGAACTAGTAACGCTCAACCACAACAATTCAGAAAGTTAAAGTAACTTCATTAACTTGTTAAATAAAGCACAAAACAAAAACACAGGCACGCACACACTTCTGTCACCTGCAACCCACAGACTGCATGTACTAAATGCAGGAGACAGCAAAGAGCTAGCAGGGTTTTTTTAATCTATCATTCTGTAGTTACACAGCAGACAACCAAGAAACTGAGCATTGCATAGCAAGGTCACTCAAGAGCAGTTTACTCCTTACCACCCAGAGCTCTTTTTTGTCCATATGTAACTTTCCCATCAAAATCATCTACTGGTACTTTTATGTCTGGTTCAACTTGGGCAATAGTGCAGTTTAAGTGTTCTTCAATCTCCCCCAGCAGCTAAAAAAACCAAAACAAACAAGTCTTAAAGTACTTTCACAGTCCAAGAGTTCAGTCAGACTAGCGCTCTGAACGGTCATATTCAAGTAGTTTCAACAGGATCTCTACACAGAAAACAACTGGGTCACAGACATCAAAGACTAACAGATATTTTTCTCAAAGGGACTACACAACTTCATTTCCAATCTCAGTATGTTTTTAACCCTGCCTAGAAACCTTTATTTTCCACACTACCCTACTTAAGTGAGTGGAGCTACTTTTCATAATAAGAGCTCACAGTCCAAGCTTATTTTACCACAAACAATGTATCATTCACCTTTCTTTACTGCAGAAAAGAGGAGCACTGTGAATTCTACAACCACTCAGAATATAAATCCCAATGAAAACGTACTTAAGTGAGACACTATTTCAGGTTATAGGAACAACAATGAAGTTACAGTTTTGCCACAAACCATCTAATCAAAAACGTGTAACTAACATCCTGTAGCTCTTAACAGCATTTGATTAGGTAGACTATAGAGAAGCTGAAAACAACACTCCAACAGAATCAACTGTGAATATTAAAATAAGCTTTTATAATTAAAGAAAATAACTTGCAAAGTTCTCATTTCTTCTTCAAATGGAATCAAAGGTTATAAACATCCCAAAGCTAGCACTGTACTTCAACTACAGAGGCACAGGCTTTTAAAGGAATTAAAGTTTCTGGTTAAGCAAAACGTTTACCTGCATCTCATTGTACCATATGGTACAGCCTCCTTCTTCCTTCAGTCTAGTGTTGTAACACCCTTTTCCACGACTACTGCACACATGATACCAAACCTAGAAATAAAGGAAAACAACGTCTAAACTTTGTGAAATAGCCTAGGACATTCATTTTGATTAATTATAGCATGAAAAAGAATTCAGATATCTATTTAAATTCCCTTTCAGTTAAGCAAGAACAAACAAGCCGTTTTGCAAAGCAGGATATTAAAGTCAGACATCAGCTGTGGGTAGAACGTCAGTAAATAACATCTGTTTGATTTTGCTTTGGAGTATAATTACCTTTTCTTTCTCTTTTGCCACAAGGGAGATTGCCAAACCCATCCTGAAGTATTAGAGGAAAAGAGAGAAAAATGTATTTCAGTAACTATGCCAACTTAATGAAACAACAAGAAAAAAAACCCCAAGAAAATGTGGTGACGACTCTGAACAGACATACCTCTCAGCTCTGCCAACTCTCCCAATTCGATGAACATAGTTCTGCTTTTCATCAGGGAGTGTCACGTTAATAACTGTGTAAGATACATACAATCCACAGAGAAAACAAGGTATTTTAAAATGTATGAGCTAAGGTCTCAGACCTGGCACCTAAAATGAATATGATTTTGATGGCTGCATACCTGGTCCTTAATCCATTTACATACTTTGTGTTGTATTACAGCAGTTACAGGTGTCACTACCTGCAATACCTACACTTAAGGCTTCCACTCTAAACGGCTTTCTCCATGATTACTTTTTGACAAGAAGGAAAAAACAAAGATTCCCCAACAATGCAGCTGATCATCAGGTATTTGAGAAGGTACGGCAAACAATCAATGAGTTGCCTCAACCTTTAACATCTACAACTTCTTAAAATGAAACGAAGCTGTATACCTGTTTTAAACAGTTGACAGGACTGTAAATCTACTGAAGCCGCGTGCAATTCAATAGCTTAGTTTAAGAGTTGTATCTTACCATACGGAACACCATGGATATCAATTCCTCTAGCAGCAACATCTGTGCAGATCAAGAAACGGACATCTCCTCTCTGCAAAAACACAGTTGTAAAGAAATGTTGTGCTAAATAAACCAAACGAAACCCCAGGCAATGAAACAGTAGTCCTTCACATTTACTTCATCTTCAAGTGGCTTTGTACACTGAGGAACATTTCAAATAAAGCTCTTCCACAGTGCAACACTGCTTTTTAAATATGCATAGCTTGGTCAATTTACATCTTTTTTTTTTGTTCCCCAACAGCATAAGGCAAGTATAAATTGATGAATGGCTCAATCAAAACCAAGCAGCCCAATATTTAAATATCTTCATCTTTTCCATATTTAATACTTTGAAAAACAATGTAATCTGTAACAGAGCCTAAATCTTGGTTTGATTTAAAAGTAAGCCCACTATCCTCTCAATAACAACTCTCAAAGGTCACACTGACTGACAGTACGGATTTTCAGCTACAGAAATTGTGCCTCAGTTTTAGGCAGTGGGTCACAGAGCATTTGAATGGAACTTAATTTAAATGGAGAACTAGCAGTACGTATTAACACATGATTTCAGATACTGGGAAGTGAGGGAAAACTCTTTAAGAATCACCTTAAATCTTTCCAGGTTTTGCTTTCTTTCTTGAGGTTTTCTGTCACCATGCAGACAGACACATGAGAACTGATGTCCCTTCCTATCAGGGCCTGAAAGAGTTGCTATGCATTAGCAATGCTATATGTAAGTTATAACACAATACCATACAGAACTGGAAAAAAAACCCACATTTTTTTGGCAAAAGTCTTAACCCAGGGAAATTTCGCTTTATTTACCACCAGTTAACATAAACTTCTAATTGCTGATAGAGGCATTGGGGGAAAACCAGTACAGTTAAACAAACACCTTATCCTCCCCCCTCCCCAGATGAGTTCTGTGCAGGTATGTCTCTCCACTCCTTTCTGGTGTAAACTTCCCTTGCTTCTCCAACATGTGTCTTCACCTTTGGCCTCACATCCCCTTTCAGCATCCCTTTACAGAAATTGTGCCTCAGTTTTAGGCAGTGGGTCACAGAGCATTTGAATGGAACTTAATTTAAATGGAGAACTAGCAGTACATATTAACACATGATTTCAGATACTGGGAAGTGAGGGAAAACTCTTTAAGAATCACCTTAAATCTTTCCAGGTTTTGCTTTCTTTCTTGAGGTTTTCTGTCACCATGCAGACAGACACATGAGAACTGATGTCCCTTCCTATCAGGGCCTGAAAGAGTTGCTATGCATTAGCAATGCTATATGTAAGTTATAACACAATACCATACAGAACTGGAAAAAAACCCACATTTTGTTGGCAAAAGTCTTAACCCAGGGAAATTTCGCTTTATTTACCACCAGTTAACATAAACTTCTAATTGCTGATAGAGGCATTGGGGGAAAACCAGTACAGTTAAACAAACACCTTATCCTCCCCCCTCCCCAGATGAGTTCTGTGCAGGTATGTCTCTCCACTCCTTTCTGGTGTAAAGTTCCCTTGCTTCTCCAAACATGTGTCTTCACCTTTGGCCTCACATCCCCTTTCAGCATCCCTTTAGCCTCACACATCCCCTTTCAGCATCCCTATGTTTTCTCTCACATTTCTCCTTCTGTGTCTCCTCATGCACGTACTTTTGTACACATTCGTTTCTTCCCACGTCTCCTGCTTGTATCTTAGAACCATAGAATGGTTTGGGTTGGAAGGGACCTTAAAGATCGTCTAGTTCCAACCCCCCTGCCATGCTTCTAGCAACTACCGCTTGTTCTTACTATGTGGTTCATCAGAGGCACCATACACTCTTCTCACTGGCTACAGTTTTGGTGCGCAATGGGTTGTTTCCACCCATTTCAGAGCTGTCTGGAAGAGGCACAGGGCAGTTCACTGCCTCCTCCCACAAAGGGCACCCTTGCGGTTCTCCCTGCTACCAAAACCTGACACATGCCCAGTCAGCACGTCATAAACTTAAGTACAATTTTATTTGTGTGGTGTCGGAGTATTGGTGATCTGTCATACAATTTTAGCTTTGAAATTAACAGGCAAGTGAGCAGAAGAGGGATTTTGTGAAAAATACTACCTCCACCCTGTTGGATGAAGTACTGCTCCATATTATCACAATCTATTTTAGTCCTGCAGAAGATAATGGCTTGGTCCATCTTGTGTTCCTTGATTGCCCGAACGGTGTATTCTCCTTTCAGAATTTTAATAGCTTCAGACCACATTTCTAAGTAAAAGTAAAGAAGTTATTTCACTCATTTTTTTAAAAAAATATGAAGAACCATTAAACAGCATACATTTAAAGTTTTCTCTAGCCTTTCACTAGACAGGTAAGCTCTTATTAGCAGAATAAGTAAGCTAGACCTTCAGTTTTTTCTTCTCCCCCCCATGCTCCCCTGGCTCCAAGGTAACGTAAGACAAGGAGCTCCATGCTACTTGTACGCACACCAAGAAACACTTGTTGCTTACATACCTGCAAAACATATATTCAAGTATTTTCCTCTCCCCCCCTAATTACAGAAAACACATTTCTCTTCACAACTACAAAAATGCAGAGGTAAAAATTTCAAGAAACATGACTCAAGGCCAATATCTACTATAATTCTTCATAACATTTACAAAGTATTATTTCACAGGCTATTACTTAACTAGTGTTGCTGATTACCTGGAGTGTTAGCACCAGGTCGTGTATTGTCTTTTGCATGTACTTCATCAGTCTAGGAAAAAAGCAACCAAATAAAACCCCAAATCATTAGTCCATACTTCACAGAGAAAATACTTAACTCCATTAATTTGTATTTAATTTCTTGCTAATTATATTTTAAAAGTAATCTTCGCATTCTATTCTCCCACCAGACAAGCTAATCTACCTTTAAGTAAAGGAAAGTCTTGAATGTAAGCACACTGAAAAAAAAAAAGGACAACAAAAAATTGTTTATGTAGACACTGGATAGAAACCCCCTTTGAACAAAGTGATGAATTTGACAAAAAAATCCCAACACCACCACCAAACCCGAAAACAATGTACTATGAACATGGCGAAATCATATACACGCAGTCCTTCCCTACCTAGGCCGAATCACATAAAAACCTAAAACCCAAAAGAAATAAATTCATGCTGAGACTTAATGAAAAGGCTGTAACAGACCTAACAAAGGGAGGTTCTAGAGACAATAAGGAGTAAAGACAACCTCAAGATTGTAACTGCGTAAGAGTTGCTGTGAATGGAATACAGTCCCAGGTTGTTCAGAATGTGAAAACTAAAGAATTCAACAGCAACCACCACCACCTTCTCACGTGAGTAGGTGTCAGGTTAACGCAGAATTTAAACTAGGGTCTCAAATGTAGTCTGAGATGAAATTCATTCCTCTAAAGATTTCTTGTCTCACATAGGTTAGAGACAAAACTACTTTACAGAATGGTGTCTGTTGGAAGGTTTACTTAAGACTCACAGAATGGTTTGGGTTGGCAGGGACCTTAACGATCATCTAGTTCCAACCCCCCTGCCATGGGCAGGGACACCTTCCACTAGACCAGGTTGCTCAAAGCCTCATCCAGCCTGGCCTTGAACACTTCCAGGGATGGGGCATCCACAGCTTCTCTGGGCAACCTGTTCCAGTGCCTCACCACCCTCCCCGTGAAGAATTTCGTCCTGATATCTAATCTAAATCTCCCTGATTTCAATTTAAACCCTTTACCCCTTGTCCTGCCACTACAGGCCCTTGTAAAAAGACCCCCCCAGCTTCCTTGTAGCCCCTTCCGGTACTGGAAGGTGCAATAAGGCGACCCTGGAGCCTTCTCTTCTCCAGGCTGAACAAGCCCAATTCTCTCAGCCTTTCTTCATAGGAGAGGTGCTCCAGCCCTCTCATCATACTTCCTCCTCATCAGAAAAGACAGGTACTAACTACAGCTTGGCCACAGATCATTAGCTGTGAAATGAACAAAAAAGCAGTGCAGTGCCATTATTCTCTAGTACAAATCAGAATGTTGATCTATCAAGATCTTCCTCAATCATATCTGTAAGACCGAGATGTTCAGAAACAGCATTACAACATCACCAATATGATGCAGACTACCAGGGAAAAAACCATTTCAGATACACTACACACTAGGCTCTACCAATAGCTGGCAAAGTTCTACAACTCTAGGCTCCAATTCTGATAGTTAAGTAAGCAATCATGACTAAATAATCTTAAGTTTTCCCGTACAGAGTACTTACTCTGATATGATTCTTGCCAAGCCTTTCCCAGAGTTTGTCAGCTTTTGGGTTTACAGGCACAACTACATGGTGTACAGTTTCAGGGACAGAATCTTCTCCTTTCAAATCAACCCAGGTGGGAAAATGCATGATCTTTTCAGACAGTTTTTTTACATCAAAAGAGTGTAGTGTTGCAGAGCACACAATCACCTGAGGAGAAAAAAAAAAAAGCCATATGGATACCACCGAAGATCAGATTCTCCTAGCAGAAAATGTCAGAATAGAACTGGAAGAATGTTATGTAGTTGAACAGCACAATGTAACGAAACAGACGGAATCCCTGACTGGCTTTCCTCCCCACAGGAACTACCTAGCTGACCAGATTCATGACACGAAATAAGTTACTTAACTGTTCTCTTATAAAAAGCCAATCTTCTAAGAGGAAGAAAGCAGAACTACTGAGGGCTGATCAATCAAGATTATTAGAGCATTAGAAGTCATAATGAATGTAGTCATTCATTTTTCAGATACACTTATATCTAAACCCAAATACAGCTAAACTCTGGGCTTCAAGATCTAGGATACTAAAACCACATATTCACAGGCAAATACTGAACACAATGAACAAGTGTTAGTTTTGGACAAGTGGTATAGCAAACTCTACATCAAAGAAACATGCTCCATGCCACATCATAGTCAACAACTGAAAGCAGTATGTACCACACAAAAAAACCCAAACAAAATCCCCAAACCACCACCAAAAACCCAAAACCACGAACAAATTTTATACCTGAAGTCTCTTTCCATCTGAAGTTATCTGAGGAATTTGACTGTGGATCCTGTTTATGAAATCTGAATAACCCTGAAGGAGAAGGCCATCCTACGTGGGAATAAAATGAAAAATAAAGCTGCACTTCTTATTTCTCAGTCTATACACCTGAGTTAAATAAGGAATACACTTGTAGTCTCCGAAGTCTCTCTTAACTAGCTGGACAGATCAATGCCTGGCTGGGATATTATTACTACGGGGGGG